AACGGAGTAAAGTATACCTAAAAAGTATTTTTACTTTGTTACTTGACACCTCTGCTTAGTGGCACCTGGAGCCCTAAGCAGTAGTTTGTGTGTGACTTGGGCCGGCCCTGTCTGTGAATGTTTATTTCCCCCCGTTTTAAATTTCCAAGCTGACATTTAGAAACAGTTTGGATCAAGCTTCTGGGATTTGTTTTGTTCTGCTGCCAGTGGCGGTTCTAGACCAAATGTACCAGGGGGCCAGGAGGGGGCCAGAGTGCTTTCATGGGGGCACAGAAAAGCATCAAATAAAAACAGGGCGAGGGATTCAAATGTGTTTTAATAAAAATTCAACTTCTTATGAGGTCAATACATTCATAATTTAGGAATTTTACATATTTTTCACTTAATATAAGTTAAAACTACTGTTTTCTGTAAAATCTGAATTAGAACTCAATAAAAACTGATAAATTCAGCTGTAAAAATTGGATTATATTTTTAAATTTGTTTTGAAAAAAACATTTGGCAGATGAAAACTGGGATCCTATCTCCATACCACTGAATATATCACCTTTTTGTTTTTAAATAAATAATAAAACATAATTTATAAAGGAAAAAAAAAAGGAAACAGATAAAAAGGACCTATCAGTAACCATGTCATCATTAGAATTTCTATTATGTCTCCAGTATCGGGGCCATAACAGGGGCCAGGACATGATTTACAGGGGTACTGGCCCCTGTTTGCCCCTCTCTAGAACCGCCCATGTCTGCTGCCCTTTGTTAGTCATACCGCTTTTATGTAAAAGTCAATCCACCTGTATATAAGCCATCCTGATTTTACATATGTCACCTCAATCTCTGTGTTTCTCCCTTTTATTTATTTTTTATTTATTTATTTTTTATTGTGTGTGATACATGGACACTTGCACCTTAATTCTTATTCTTATCTTGATATACTGTATATACAGTGCTTGCTTGTTTATTCTTAATGCACCTTTTCCTCCTTGTTTGCACCTTATTTAATTACTATGTGACCAGTGAATTTCTCCGCTGTGAGATCAATAAAGCTCATCTAATCTAATCTAATCTAATCTAATCTTAAAACACCCCATGAATGCCAACCTCTCTAAATGCAGCCAGGCTTTTATTTTGAAACCATCCACAGTGGTCTTCCGGCCTTGCGGCTGCGCTTTGACGCATCCGCGCGCCTTGCGGACGCAGCAGGAACTTCGGAGCTCAGCTGCGCTTCACGCACAGACCGCCGCGGTCTGAGAGGCGAGCAGGGAGAGAGAAGCGGAGCCAGTGGGAGCATCCAGCGGCTCATGGAGAGCAGAGCCCTGCTTGTCCGAACAAAGGGCAGCTCGATCGGATGCCTTTTACCACATCAGCGCCGTTAGATGCTTTTCATCCGGGAATAATTGGTTAATCAATGGCTCCCAAACATGCGCTCCTTCGCAGAGGAGGTGATAAAACGGCAGTGAGGCAGACGCTATGGGAAGCGGGGATGGTGGCCCGGTGTCCGCAGAGGAGAACCCCGGCTGGGATGCTGATCGGAGCGCTCCTGGTCCTGATGATGCAGAGCGCTTCAGCCGCTGAAGGTAAGAGCGCGATGCTGCTTTCACCACATCAGAGACTGATCCTTCCTTCCATCAAAGAAACAACCTTCATCCAATCAGCTGACTGAGCCTTGTGCACCATTGGGTCACTTTGCTGGGGTTTGAATGATCCGCAGAATCAATGTTGTGGTATTTAACCTGTGGGAATGTGATCCATGTGATTTAAAGGCCTTCAGTGAGGCAGCCAGATGGAGCGCAGCGCGCTGGGAATCCACAGCTCCTTCATCTCAGGGCTCCAAAGCTTTGGATCTAGAGCCAAACTTTTCAACATTTCTGACACTGAAACATTTTGGGGTAGATGCATCTGATAAAAGATGGCAGGTGTTTTGAAATGCACAGGAATGTCATGTTTAGTCATAGGTTGTGCTTTGCCCAACAGCTGCAGACTGCCTGAGAAAATCAGGAGGCTTGTTTGGTTTTTCTTAAAATAAGTTCCTTTTTGTCTTGAATTGAAGAGGAAAGTGAGACAATTTACATCTAAAATAAGAAAAAGCAACTGCATTGTCTTATCGAAGTGCATATTATCTAATTATCTTATTTTAAGAGTAAAAACACTGATTCCATTGGCAAATCTTCCCATTTACCTACTAAAATTAAGGGTAAATACACTTGATTTAAGAAATGTTTACTTATTTCTAGATCATTTTTGCAGTGAATTCCAACATCTTACATAGGAACAAGTGGAGGAAAACATTGAGAGCACATCAATGTCTCTGATAGAGCTTTTCCAAATGCTTCTAATGCATTTTACTGGTTAACATACAAGACATACCATTTTTCACATCCATGAATTCTCCAAACACTGAAAAAGTAACAAGATCTCACAAGATCAGAAACAACAATAGGCTAAAGAGAAATACGCATTTTAATAGAAATCTAAACCACTTTTTAATGACAGTTACTCTAATTTTAGGTTTATATAGCCACATGTTTGGATCTTTAACTTTTCTCCATGTGTCCATGTTGCAGAAAAATAAACTATAATGCCCTTTAAAGCACAAAACTACCTATTAGAAGTTAGTTTTTATTTTACTGTCTAACAGAATTAAGATAGGGCTGAAACAATTAATCAGATTAATCATGATTTATCGATTATTGAAATAATCACCAACTAAGTTAGTAATCGATTAACTGGTTAAATGGGGTATACAGACTGTAAGCATGCCTTTAGCTGAAAAAGCAACATATTTAGAACCAGTGGCAGTTCTAGACCAAATGTACCAGGGGGCCAGGGGGGGGCCAGCATGTTTTCATGGGGGAACAGAAAAGCATGAAATAAAAAACAGGGCAAGGGATTCAAATGTATTAAGAGAGCTGCATGAAGTGAAAATTTCTGTTCAATTAGGTTTAATAAAAATTATATTTCTTATGAGGTCAATATACATTCAGAATTTAGAAATTTTAACATATTTTTCACTTAATTTAAGTTAAAATTACAATTTTCTATAAAATCTGAATTAGAACTCAAGAAAAACTGATAAATTCAGTTGTAAAAATTAGCAGATGAAAACTGGGATCCTATTTCAATACCACTGAAGCTATCACCATATTGTTTTTAAATAATTAGTAAAACATCATCAATAGAATTTCTTTTAAGCATTATCTCTTCAGAGCAGGGGCCATAACAGTGGCCAGGACATGATTTACGGGGGCACTGGCCCCCGTTGACCCCTGTCTAGAACCGCCCATGCTTAGAACAGTAATTATACTGAAAAAAAAAAAAAAAAATAGAAACATTTTGCATTTAAGATTAAAACAACATTTTTGTCTGTCTTTAGGATCTATCCAGAACTCCTCAAGTGGGAAAGTTTTACTTTTATCTGGTTTAATTTCGTAAAAGATCTTCTTTAAGAAATCTTTCAGTATCTGATTATTAATTGATTATTTGAAGAAAAAAAAAATCAACAGCAAAATAATCATTGGTTGCAGCCCTAATTCAGATTAGACATTATTACTTATTATTTTTAATTACTCATCCAGATTAGTCATTTATTCACTTTACTTCTACCATACCCCCCTATAATTACACCTATCCCTCCCTCCCACTTTGGGAACGACTGCATAACCAGCCAGACATTGACCTCATTCAGGCTATTGATGCTCAATACTTCCTGGTGTAAAACAGACCAATCACAGCGCAGGAGGCTGGCCCATACTGCAACAATGCTTTTTTGTAACCATGACAATCAATTGCAGCTGCAATGGACCAAAAAATGTTAACGATGCCCTTTAATATGTCAATAAAGTGCTGCTTGTATAATTAAATACCAACAACTGTTACTTTTTTAAGATATTTTTTTTGGATCATATCCATAGTTTTCTGATAGATTCTAAACCATTGTTAACTGCTGACTCTGTTAGTCCCACCTTTGAAATTGGGTTCTATCTTCTCCTTTCTGGACTAATATGCTGCATAAATGATGTAAGCAAGTCTGCTTAGCTTTAGGAAACGAGTCATGGTTTTCACAGCTGACTCTAAAATACTTTGGTAAAGACAGAAGTTCACTTTTTATTAAAAAAATCTGCACGGTCTATCTGCAAAAGAAGCCCAGATCACCACCCTTCCTTTATCGTGCTCGACAGCTTCTATGATTTGTTTGATTGGTTTCTTCTAAAGTCGTATTTGGCGGGCAAGGATCTCTGCTTTGATTTAATGTGGCTAAAGGACATTATCTCATTTAAAACTCTTAACAAACCCAAGATGCTGCATTGGGTGCAGCTTTGTGCTAAGAACTGTTCAGGGTGAGGCCTTTAGAGGCCTTTAGAGTCTGACTTGGATCTACAGGTTGCTTTAGCTTTTCCTTTCTCTTAGGATTGTGTGCTCTGACCTTTACTGGGATTTCAGCAGCGATGCTCAACACAGATTGTTTGGAAATGGTACTACGATAGCTAAATGAGTTGCAAATGTTTTTGTTTTATTTTATATATCGCAGACGTAGAAGCAATACATACATAAACTACGATATCTTTAAGATCAACGCAATATGATAACAAATATTACACACATAAAGATGCCAAAACAGTTACAGATAGTTTAAAGACATAAACAGATGTTATAGAGCAGAGACAGGATGGAACATTTAGTTAAAATGTGCTTTATATTTTTATAATGTTTATGACCATTTTNAAGAAAAAAAAAATCAACAGCAAAATAATCATTGGTTGCAGCCCTAATTCAGATTAGACATTATTACTTATTATTTTTAATTACTCATCCAGATTAGTCATTTATTCACTTTACGTCTACCATACCCCCCTATAATTACACCTATCCCTCCCTCCCACTTTGGGAACGACTGCATAACCAGCCAGACATTGACCTCATTCAGGCTATTAATGCTCAATACTTCCTGGTGTAAAACAGACCAATCACAGCGCAGGAGGCAGGCCCATACTGCAACAATGCTTTTTTGTAACCATGACAATCAATTGCAGCTGCAATGGACCAAAAAATGTTAACGATGCCCTTTGATATGTCAATAAAGTGCTGCTTGTATAATTAAATACCAACAACTGTTACTTTTTTAAGATATTTTTTTTGGATCATATCCATAGTTTTCTGATAGATTCTAAACCATTGTTAACTGCTGACTCTGTTAGTCCCACCTTTGAAATTGGGTTCTATCTTCTCCTTTCTGGACTAATATGCTGCATAAATGATGTAAGCAAGTCTGCTTAGCTTTAGGAAACGAGTCATGGTTTTCACAGCTGACTCTAAAATACTTTGGTAAAGACAGAAGTTCACTTTTTATTAAAAAAATCTGCACGGTCTATCTGCAAAAGAAGCCCAGATCACCACCCTTCCTTTATCGTGCTCGACAGCTTCTATGATTTGTTTGATTGGTTTCTTCTAAAGTCGTATTTGGCGGGCAAGGATCTCTGCTTTGATTTAATGTGGCTAAAGGACATTATCTCATTTAAAACTCTTAACAAACCCAAGATGCTGCATTGGGTGCAGCTTTGTGCTAAGAACTGTTCAGGGTGAGGCCTTTAGAGGCCTTTAGAGTCTGACTTGGATCTACAGGTTGCTTTAGCTTTTCCTTTCTCTTAGGATTGTGTGCTCTGACCTTTACTGGGATTTCAGCAGCGATGCTCAACACAGATTGTTTGGAAATGGTACTACGATAGCTAAATGAGTTGCAAATGTTTTTGTTTTATTTTATATATCGCAGACGTAGAAGCAATACATACATAAACTACGATATCTTTAAGATCAACGCAATATGATAACAAATATTACACACATAAAGATGCCAAAACAGTTACAGATAGTTTAAAGACATAAGCAGATGTTATAGAGCAGAGACAGGATGGAACATTTAGTTAAAATGTGCTTTATATTTTTATAATGTTTATGACCATTTTCCAGTTACTATACTGATTCTTGGGAAAAGCAATAACTATTCAAAAAGTGCACATCCATAATAAATATTCATACAAGCAGATTTATGCACCTAAACTACTCTCCATGCACATTTTTTATGTTTTTATGCAACTAAATTCTTCTCTGCACCCATGGCTTGCTTTTTATGCACCTGTATTTTTGTTTTTTTTAATAATAACTGAACTTTATTGATCTCACAATGAAGAAATTTACCTCTGCTTTTGAGCGCTGCCATTGTGCAGCAAACCAGGTACTTGCAACCTTCTCAGAGCACAAGCGCGCTGCTATAACCCACTGGGCCATCGCTCCCCAGATAGAATAACTTGAATTCCAACAAAAATATGCCGTTAAAAATGTAAAGATTGAAATCGATATCTGTCAGATTAGCAGCCATGTTTAGACTTGCTAGATTTCTTTCTTACTCTTCACCTCTCTTTTTATTTTCTTTGTTTCCATTTATAGTCAGGCTGTTTTGGAGGCTTTCAGCTTGTGTCTGTCGTTTGTAGGCATCGTTGCTGTGTTCAGTATGTGTAGGTGTTTCCGTTGTTGGTTCTACATCCTCAGTCCGTAGCTGTAACTGAAATAAAAGCAGTTCATC